TTCTGAAATATTTAGATTTGAAGAAATATACAGTAGATTTGGTTAAAGACCGTGCTAAGGCCTGAAAATAAAATACAAACCAGTGGTTGGCAGCAAGATAAGTAGATATGGAAGGCAAATTTTTTTATACTTCTACTTTCCAGGTAGAGGCAGTTATCTTGTCTGAGGCGAGACGGAAAAAAAGGACCTTTGTGTTTCCCCACACTCGTCTGTCATTCCTAGTTTGGTAGTTTGGCAGAGAGAGAGAGAGAGAGAGAGAGAGAGAGAGAGAGAGAATGTCTTCCACAGAACCTCTGACAGGCTTGTGTTCGCCAATAAAACTCAGAGGCTCTTCATACTCTCGGCTGCTGTGCAGCTGTATCCAGCAACTGCTGTCTGTCATTGGTGCATAAAGTTGTAAAGTCCAGCTGAAATTACAATTAGACATCACTTCTAGTAGTCAAAAATCACAAGTGATTTCAAATATGACATTAGCAGTGCACTTTTTTCCCTGGTGGATGTCTGTTTGGTGGCTTGTCCAGCAAGCCAAGGTGAAACACAAAATGTGTTTTTATCTGCAGAAAGCTAAAGTGGGTTGTTTACATTAAGTGGCTCTTTTTTGTGTGTCAATGGCTGCTGTCTGGCAAGTAGATAATCAATGACAGAACACTGACGTTGGTGCTTTAGGCAAACACAATCTAAGATAAACAAATCTGACAGATATGCAAAGACATTCTGATCTTATGTAGACAAAAAAACAAATGATATTGTCCAGACTGAAATATAACTTTCATTGATTGCTGCGAGACTTTGTACCGACATTCATGTTGCAAGCAGGAGGAATCCTAATAACTCTCCTGATCTACCTCCACCAGCAGGTCAAAATTTGACTTTGTCCAATACTTTGGTTTATGGCCAAACACCTGCAAAACTATTAGACTAGTAATAAACTACAATGGTGTACTATCAGCATATTAGCATTGTTAACAAGATGATGTTAGCAGCTCAAACCATTTATGGTTTTGTGACTCTAATTTTACCTTATCTATAACAGCTTAACCAAGGCTGTGTCACTCATGCCAGTAAAAGAAGTTGCTTTGGGAAATTACACTTTAAGCCACAACTCCATCAGCACTTTTGAATCTGTTCATAAATGTATTATACTTATTATGCAACAAGCAATGTCCACATGTCCATAAAAAGGCATGACACTGATTAATTAATCAATGTCATACTTTCAATCTCCCCCATATGTGTATCGTACCACAGGCACTGCATAGTGTACATTACAGATTAATGAAGAAATCCAAGTCTGCCTAAAAGCTTCTGAAACGTGCAGAGGCAGCTGGGTGGAGATTGTGCTGTACGACACACAACGTCAGCTCTAAGCCCTTCTCTGTGTCTCCTGTACAGTATATTTATGCAGTTGGGGGTCCTGTGGGAAGAGCCAGAATTAGCAGTGGATAGTGAAAGGTCATAGAGCAGTGGGAATGGAGATCCTGTTGACGCAATCTGTCCAATCATATTTGTTTCCTTCGGCCAGACACAAGTGCCTACGTCTAGACTCGAGGAACAAACCAAAACAACACAATCCCATAAAACACATGTGTTTGCGTTTGACCCTGCTTAGAAAAGCTGCTTTTTGACGGTGGCGGTGACAGCATTCAAACCAGTTTCATAACAACACTGAAATACTTCCTTTTAAGAAGAACACACACCACTTAGCAGGCAAGCTCCTAAAAAATCTTAACAATGACAGTGAACATATCTTAACCAGGGAGAGACAAAGAGCTCTCTAAAGTGTCAGAGCAGACCTTGCCTGAGTGTGTTTTACAGTTGTTTAAACAGCAGTAAGCCATGTCTGCTGCTGTATACACAGTAAATGCAGGCAGACGGAGCCTCTGGAGGAGTTGTTTTTCACAGGCCTGTGTGGTATGCATTTGCGTCCCAGCCCACTCAGACCTACCTCATGGCTGGCTGGTTGGCATTCCTGCCTCACTCTGTAATTATGGCTCTTCTCCAGGCCTCTAAGCTCTTCTCTCTCTACAATGCCGTATTCTGACAGGGCAGGGACCTGCCTCTGTCAAAGGTGCACACTTTTCACCTGGCCATATAGCTCAGGCTCTAATTTTAACAATAACACATCACGGGGTGAGAATGTGCTTTGACAACCGCGGAGGCCAACAGTTGCAGCAGGGAGAAAAAAAGAAGCAGCTTCAATTACACTTGTTGTCATGGATCATAAGTCAGGGTTAATGATGATGTTTTTAACCTTGGGGTGAAAATATGTGATATTAAATACGTTAAATCAATTAAAGAATTAAAATGAAACAAGTACTTTGCTTTAAACCCTGTCTCCCAGTGTGTGAGAAAAAGTATTAACACTTAAACACCTGTGAAAGAGTCTACACACCAAGCAGCACATAGATCCTTGTAATCTGGTGATGTGATACTGAGGCTGCAGTGAGAACAGAGGAAGTTTTACTGTACATGCTCATATAGCACATTCATTTGAAGCCATTGGATGTATCAGCAGAAAGTTCCTGGTCTCTGATTTGAGAGGTGATTTCCTTTCTAATTTCTGTCTAAAATGTCTCTGCAGATACAAACAACCTGACAGAGATGATGGATGGATTCACTTTCATCTTCTGAAAATCCCACAATATAACTACATTTATCTGATCTCAAATTAGATAATTGTGATGATGACATGCCAATTCTACTGGACTTATTCACAGGTTTGTTTACAGAGTTAAAAATGAAACCTAGGACTGAAGCCTCAGCCTACAGAACTTGTAGGAAACCTACAGCAAATAAGCAAATATTTTTGACCAAATGTTTCAAAACTCAACGTACTGTTGCCACTTCAACAATGTGAACTTGTTGTCGTAAACTGATGAATAATCCAAATGCATTATCAGTATGTGAAAGGAAATCTCACAGAATTTCAGACAATCTGCTCCATTCATGCAGCTGGGGGCACATGACATGCCTGCAGCAGAAGGATTAGGACGATCAGCTGAGTGCGACTCAATACCACATTGTTCCTCGCTGTTCACCGCTTGTTTTTCCTCCAACTCTCCTTGCAGCTTATCAGAGGAGGACAGAGCCAAATCTCTCTCCCCTACGCCTGCCAAACTTCAATCATTCGCAGTCCACTTCCCCCCGTAAACTGCTAACAAGCCACTATGGTGGTGCCAAAATGTCAAAGCCTTTTGTGTTACTTTTTCATGCTCTTTATTGTTTCAAACAAAGCTCTAGGTGTTTTTTTTTGTAAAAACAGCTCATGTTCAGGACAAATAAATACAGCTAATGGCAGTTAACAAAATCAGAAAATCAGCTTTGAGCTTCAGATTACAGACTACACACTGATGCCTTTGTTCGTAGGTCACATCTGTATTTGGGTGACAAAAGGCAGCCACACAGCGTGCTGCTGTGTGAATGTATCAGAAAGGGTGTGTGTCAGCCTGAACTCATCCTCCATTCAAGCTCTCATTGTCTCTGCTCCATGCTGATAACAAAAAACACACACTATGCAAACAGATCTCATCTACTCCATCAAAGGCTGATGTGGCAGTCTGGACAACAAATTAAAAGGCAGGTCACAGACAAAACAATGAAACATACTATTATATGGATTTGTGGCTGTGGTTCAAAGGGTAACTGTGAAAATGTTTATCATGCAGGGATGCTAGCAAGTCACTGTTTTAACTTTCAACAAATAGTTTTGGGAAATATGCTTATTCTCTTGCTTGCCAAAACTTGAGGAGAAGACTCATGTCTGAGAGTGCCAAGAGTTTGAAGAGAAGACTGATGTCCCTTTCATGCCTGTATGGTAAGTATATGTTGTTGGAGCTTGCAGCGGGTTAGATTAACTACGCATAAAGACTGCTGCATGCCTCTGTAATACAGGGAGTCGTCATTGTTACACTTTGATTTAATTAAATTTATTACACTTTTTACTAATTAAAAAGGCAAGATATAATATGTTGATTAACGAGCTTTAGAGATGCTGGTAGCTGGATTTTGTTTACTTTCAGACAGAGCCAGGCTCTTCCCCCTTGTTTCCAGTCCTTATGCTAAACTAGGCTAAACAACTGCTAGCTCCAGTAACATATACTTACCATACAGGTATAAAAGGGGCATCAATCTTCTCATCAAACTCTAAGCAAGAGCGCAAACAAGCATTCTTCCCAAATTGTCCAACTATTAATTTAATAGCTGTTGGTTCTTCAGAGCAATGTTCAATATGCATAATATATGGTTATTAGCACAGTACCACATCTCACTCGGTGGGTCTTCCTTTAAAATATCTGACATAGATTCACAGAAAAAGCTACAGAAGTGAAAATCCTCTGTGGCTTAATGATAAAAGTATTAAAGCTGGAGTTTGTATCCCAAAATAGCAAAATAATTACATATCACAGCAATTACATATCCCTTGACAGCCACTGTGCATTCAGAATTTTGCCCAGAAAGCAGTTTGAATGCACCTTTAAACCTCAAAGAGCCACATCAGCAGCATCTTGGCTTTGAGAAGGGACTGGGCAAAGCAGAGACATTTAACCCGCTGAAACCTCTGTAATGGAGATTAAAAAGCTCCAAGATGTGCTCACCTGGCACTCATGTGAGCAGGCCTGTGCTTGAACAAAGGGAGATGGTGTGCAGCAGAAGAGCACAAATATAGTGTACGGATATTCTGTGTTGACTCAAACTATGCAAACACTGCACCTGATGGCGATGAACAAACACACTCACGGCTGACTTTCTGCTGTACCAGTTTCAGTTGCCTTGGGAAATCAGTGTGCTGCAGTAAATAGATTTTTACTTTCCAGTGTGATAATCATCTGTTTCCTTGAGCGCTGCTTATCTTTAACAGTAATTTCATTCAGCCAGTGATCCTCAAACCTTCCTTCATTGTGGCCTTTGGCAATCTGTCTATCATTTTTTTTCCCACAATAGATTATGTGCAATCTGGATTTTAAACATTTTGTTTATACAGTTTTATGAATAGGGCTCACCTATATAGAGTGAGGAGTCTTTCTTCTTCACATGATCATCGATATAGGACACCCCTAGAGGCTGTACCGGCGTGGCTCCGATACCCAGCAGGACCTGAGCTCCGATCAGCAGCAGGTACATCATGTTGGTGTTGGGCTTGTGGGCGCACACAGGGTCCACTGGCACCTGGGCGTCCCTGCTGGTGTTGGAGCAATCATCCCGACCCACGTCAGTCCTCCACGTTTCGCGTATCTCATACTGATTTGTTAAAAACTCCGGGAGAGCTGAGAGAAGGGCGCCGAGTGCCATGACGATGCCCCCGCAGCCTATCAGACGGGGACGATGTGCTTTGGCCCCAAAGTAGCTGACAAACAGGATCAGCGCCAGGTTGCCTATCTCAAAGCTGCTGGCTATCACTCCGACGTCAGCACTTTGCAGGTTGAACCGTCGCTCCAGGGTGGTCAGCACACTCACCTGAAAACAACAACAGAGCACAGACTCAAACCAGGGTCATGGGAATGATGCTGAACAAAGCAAAAAATGTGGCACAAATACAAAACCAAGGATGTCGTGGGAATCTCACGTCACCAACAGAGAGAGAGAATTCATCATATGATTTATCAGAATACATATAAGCGGGTGAAAATGCACACAGAAGATACTGTGATCGGATCGGCCAGTTCACATCTTCAGGTGACATGTAAATGCAAAGTGCAGAGTGTGATTCTGCCCAGCAAGTTGAGGGGGCACCTAACTCGACCTCTTCCTGCTAGGTTAAGTAAGCCCAGCAAAAACTAGTAGTAGCAGTAGCTAGCAAGTGATGAATGATGCCTGTCTACAAGTCTGCCAGCTCAAACCAACTAATTTGTAGATTAAGATCTGATCAGAAGAAAGGGGATAGCAAGAATGCTTAATAATACCAGGGGTAAATGCACAGAACAGTCATTATCCAGATAACACATCCAGATACAGATCACATATTAATACCAGGTGTAAACAGGGGCCTAAACTTGAGTCTTCTGGATGTGCTCTTGGAGAAATCATCAGTCACGCTGTTTGAAACTGTGCCTTTCCATTGGAATATCCTGAATGACAAGCTGTTCAGATGTTCCACACTGTGGCTCCTCCCTGCCAACAGGCCTCTGTTTCTGATTAGCCGCGCACAACAACATTGACTTCCACAGCTTTAGTTAGAACGGCTCATCACAAGCTTCTCTCTCTTTCACCAGCTGTCGGAGCCTACCAGTAACTTCCAGCTGAGGCGCACAAAGCAGAATGGTTGTCACAATACAGTTTGTCAGATATGATCCAGAGGTCAGTGATTAAATACTGTAAGTGAAGCATAATAATCTGTTGTATAGGAGAGGAAGGATGTGTTTGCTTGCTTGTGATGTGTGGGAACAGTCTTTCTATGCCCTGCGAACCAGTGTCACATTTAAACAGTTATCAAGCTATTTTCAGATCTGTCCCAAACTGTCCTTGAAAGGGCATCACAATTTTCCATTTCACAACTGGCTCCGTTGAAGAGTTTTGATTGAGCTCTAAAAAAAAAAAAAAAAAAAAGGATCCTGCCAACACAAACATCCCGTTCTGCAAAGACTGACTTCACTGCAAGATAAATGAGCTTGCTGGTTTGTTGTTGGAACACTTTTCCATCAAATGCTTAATTATGCCAATTTAATGTACACAGTGGATTTGAATTGGAGCAGTTGTTTGGATACAACTAGGTGACTTTTGAGGCTCCAAAAGGCTCTGTGCTTTAGGGCCAAATGTGGAAGTGACTGATCAAAAATCTTTTTTTTCTTTTTTTAAAATACAACTAGACTTGAATTCCATCTTTAACTTGACATTAAGCATCATACATTGCTAAATATAAAATATACTGTTTTTTTGTGTTGTTTTCAGCTTTTCCTGCATGTCTCTAAAACATTCATCACATTACAATCTACACACCAGGTGTGGTACAGAAATAGAAATTTACAGCACAGCCATATCTTAGAGTTACAAGTTCTGAAAACTGAATTTGTTCTATGAAAATAAAATCTGTCGTGAACCAGGGAAGAAACCCTATTCCCTTCAGTCCCGACTGATGCCTGGTATTAATCTATGATCTGTTTCCTGTCCCGTTTGAGATAAGATTTAATGCACAACAGGCGAGGAGGATGAGGAGATGTCATTGCCAACAAAGACAAACATTGAACAGCCTGTTTGCTTTGTCACTGGAGTTTAGAAAATAAGTTGTCCTCTGTGACTTTTAGGAGGCAGGAGTGACAGCAGGTAATTCTTGCAGCTGCTCTGAACCCGACTGCAGTGACTCCTTCACTACAGATCAAGGCATGGGGAGGATGATTGTTGGGAGTGGTCCGTGCCGGTGTCCTTCAGTGATGTTGAGTGGATGGAAAACTTCAGAATGAGTCATGACGTTTCTGCCCCTTGGGCGGCTCTTTCCCACAAATGCAAACGCACTGGACAGGCTGCATTTACGCCTGGCTGGCTCCGCCCTGGCTGGGATCTGATCATAACATTGCCTCATCCTCTACACTAGCTCTAGGTCTACACAGTAACACTGCAATAAAGTAAAGCAGAGGGAGCGAAGCCATTATCTAATCAGATCCCATCCCGTTATGGGAGGCCTGGGCAAGTGTGTGTGTGACTGACAGCTTCTGCAGTGGAAGCACTCTGGATGAGTTAAGCTCTCGTCGCCAGGTTCAACATGTTTGTGCACTTCCACTTAAACAGGCAGCCTTCCAGGAGGATTAAAGCCAGAATAAATTATACAGGAAAAACCCAGTGGAATGCAGACTGGTCAGTGGTCGAAGCCACATTTTGTCCGGATAACGACTTAAACTGTGGAAATGTTTAAATCAGTTGCATGGCAACAAAACAAACCTCGTCATGCTTTGTGACATCCCATCACCTCACAGAAGAGCGAGTCTTGTCTGAGCACAAGGAATCCCAACTTCCACCGATTTACTTCAGCATGTACTGACAGGGTCTGTATTATCAGCAAGCAGAAAAAGCTGCTCAATGCTGACATTTACTTCAGCACGTCAGGGTTCTGCACTAATGTGAAAGTGCTGAAATAGTGCTACTTGTGAAGGCACGGCAGCTGTTTATAAGTGAAGCCTTGGCTATTTAGAATCATTTCCACTCTGTTTTATGAGGTGTGACTTACTGAAGGTTGACTGAAGGTTAGCTAAATGTACTTTAACTGTTCTGAATGAGCTATTTTGTGTCTAAAAGAAGCTACATCGATAGCGTTAGCTGTGGGCACACAGAATATTTTCTACTTTTTTAAATGTTTTTATCTTTATATTTTATCTCAAGTTTTTGAGCACAAGTGAAGTAAACAATTACATATTTTCAGGTCATGTATGTGAACACACACAGTAAAGCAGATTTTGAATTAAATTTCTATGAACTGATTACTAACACCAACATACTGTTTGGATATAATAATAAAAAAATTATCTTTATATTTTATCTCAAGTTTTTGAGCACAAGTGAAGTAAACAATTACATATTTTCAGGTCATGTATGTGAACACACACAGTAAAGCAGATTTTGAATTAAATTTCTATGAACTGATTACTAACACCAACATACTGTTTGGATATAATAATAAAAAAACCTCACTATGGATTTTTTAATTTTTACCACTTTCTCAACACCTGTGCACAAAAGGCCCAAGTCTGACAGCAATAATAAATTACCTGGCAGATGTATGTTTTGCATTATGGCTAAACGTGAAATAATCCTGAATCATTTAACATCTCAGCATAAATTTCATAAAACGAATAAAAAAAATGACAAATATGTACGACTTTATTGGAACATAGCTATCAATGCTGATATTGAATATAGTTTTAAAAAGACAATAATGTTCCTGTTGAACAGTTTGGGCTTCTCCCTCCAACACGCTGCAGTTTGACAGGTTCACTCAGCTGAGACGAACACAGTTCAGGCTCAGGTGTTGGTTGCACTTTGCAGCTCGAGCCCTGAAGTGTCGGATTTGGTTCTTATCAGGGAAGCGTTACTATAACCAACAGAGACCCACAGGTGCTGCAAACACAGAAATCCCAAATAGAGCTTTCCCAAGGCTTGTATATAATATTAACTCCTACAATTAAAATCAGTTGAAATTTGTTCCTATAGTTTTTCATTGGTTGAAACAAGACAACTCCAATGACAGTATTGTAAATTACGTAGAATTAAAGGTAGAGTCTTCAGATTCCTTGTTTTAGCCGACAGTCAGCTCAAAACCAAAAGATATCCAGTTCACCACCATATATGACAACAAACAGCCACCAAACCTCTTATTTGTGAAGGTGGTTGCCCTTTTGGCTTGAAAAATGACTGAGATGACTAATCATCAATCAATTAATCATGCAACTATGATATATGATAGTGAACTGAGTACCCCTGGGGATTTGGACTGTTGGTCAGACAAAAAAAAGACGTATGAAGATGTCACTTTTGTCTCTGGGAAGCTGTGATTGCAATTTTGCAATTTTTTTTTACATTTTACAGATAAAACAATGAATCAATTGAAAAAGTATTCATCAGATTAGTCAATAATGAAAATGATCATCATCATGATCATTGCTTGCAGCCCTAATGTCCATTAGTAAAGTCATCAACTGCTGAAAAGAATCGTTCATGAAATTATTTATTTCAGATGTTCATTTTTAATGGACATCAAAAGAGGCTGTTAATTTGCTCCTATATCAAAAACAGTAAAGGCATCAAAGTGAATTTCTGAGAAGTGAGAGAAACCCTAATAAATCAGGGAACAATGACAATCTCATACTTCTGTCGAATTTGCCTGTGCAGGCTGACAGGTTGCAGTCAGGATGCTAAATCAGGACATGCAGCATGTTGCTAAGTGTCTTGTACTGTAAGCCGCTCAGAGAAAGCAAAGGGGCCATGATAGTTGAGTTTTGTCCCTTTGCTGCCAGCAAACACTCTTAAGTCCCATCATCCAATCAGATACACCGCAGTAGCTCATGTAGGTTGATTCCAGTTGACCAGATTGTCACTGAACCAGGTACCTAATGTCCTGTCCATGTAAATGAAGCTCCATGTAAGAGAGCTCTGCTCTGTCGATGAAAACAAATAGGGGAGAAAGCCTCATGTGTTTGTGTAAGTAAATCATCCCAACCTCACCTGGAGCCCCAGGTTTATTGTTCAAACTGTCTGAACAGGTGTGCAATGCCAGCTCGCCATAAAAAATGCAGAACTGTGATGCCTGTTTTATTAAAAAGGAAATAAAGAGAACAATATCCTCCTATGAAACCATCCTAACTGACTGTGAGTGGCACTGCTGTGCTCTGTGGCCGCTCTTAGCCGCAGGATGCTTGATGCTCAGCAGATCCACTAACAGAGAAGATAAGATGTTCCACTCCAAATATGGCCAAGGCATTTAGGGTTTAGTCTATTAATTGCAACTGAGCTGGGGAAACGGTGTGATTCTTGGAGAATAAACATTGCCAATGTCAAAACTAAGCATTCACAGAGGATGCCTGAGGCTGTGTAGTTCCTCTGGGACACTTTGAGGAATATTTTGGAGCACTACTGGGAGCTTTGTCCCATAAAATCTATATTAGAGTCTCTGAATGCTTTCAGACTTTTCTGTTTTGTTTTTTTCCATTGAAACATGATCATAAAGATAGAGATTTTTAGGTTTAACTACAAGAACATACCGAAAACCTTACTCATCATTGTGGTTGCTTTTGTTGTCAGTGTGATTAATAGTAAAACTGAAAGTAATGGGTAAAACTAAAACATAAACTGAAACAGGAGGAATGGGAGGAGGATGTCCTTGACCTTGAAAGGCATTTTGGGTACATCAGCCAATTACTACCTTCCTAAATATGATGAGACTATTATTATTAGTGCCAACCAAAGATTAAAAGGTCACCCTTTGGTTTCTACATAGATGATTAAAAGTTGGCTCGGATTGAGTCGTGATACACTAAAGACAAATTAGACATAATGGCAGACAAGCAGAGGGATGTTTTCTCAATAATAAGCTAACTAACGCGGGACAGTTGAGCGGCATGAAATCTGTCCCGCAGGCTGTACTTTACCGAGCAGGAGACAGACTTCTCATGTCATCGCTCAGCTGAACGTTAGTGTTTAGCCCAAAGCGTGGAGAGTAGCACAAACCCCAAATGTAAAGCCCAGACCCGGATAAGATAACTCTGAATATGACCTAGAGAAGCAGGGTCTGACAGTCTCACAGTGACGGAGAAGGCAGTGTGGGTCCTGCTTCTTGAGTTCGGGTTGTGTGTTGCTACTCACCAGGTATGCTCCGACGGTGCCCTGTGCCAACATGAGGGCGCATTCCGATATCAAGAATATCTTGATATTTGAGAAGCATGAGGAGTTTTTGCGGAGGCCGTCTGCTTCCAGCATGTCCCCGCCGCTCCGGTCCGAGTCCCGGTGCTTCTTCACCTGCATCGTCCCCTACTTTAGCCACACAGCACTGTGAGAAAGCCCGAAACACACACAGGAGGAGAGTGACCGCAGGAAGACACCGGTAGGTACAGTGTTTCGCTTTCCCCTGAAGACTACATTCGCGGTGCTCCGTGTCGCTGTGTCTCCTGATTCAATAATGTGTCCTCTTTCATCTGACGGGCTACGAAACACACATCCAAACTCCGCGGGGCTCTGCCGGTCGTCTGCGCCTAAACATTGCCTCCTCGTCGACGCGCAGAAACATGTGAACTCCCTGAAGGTGTTTGCAAAGGCACAAGTGAACCACGGGCGCGGAATTTTCTGTCAGATCGCATGTTTCCGTCGCGTTTTTTTTTTTTCTGTGGTGTTTTAGCTGCAGGTGAAGGTTGGAGTTACAGACTTCCTACTGCCGCTCCGGACTGTCATGGTCCTTCACCGACAATGACTGCTCTCTCTCTCTGCGCTCCCACCTCTCCCTCTCTACTACTCTCCTCCAGTGTAAGCACATGCACGACCCTAGAGGCGCTGTGTAGCAACATCACAAGTCTGCTAAACTTGACTGACTTAAAACATCACTACAGTAGTCCTGTGGGGCCCCGTGTGTGTGTGTGTGTGTGTATGTGAGTGTTCTGATTTATAATTTTCCCACATTAAATCTGCAGGAATTATGTCTGCAGTGCTGTTTGAGAATTTTGTTTAGTCTCATGGCTGCAACTAGGGATCATTTTAGAGCTGAAACTACATGAGGCGTGTCATTGAGTTGATTAGTAGAGAGAATAATTTAATCGATTAATCGTTATCAAAGAAAATGGCAAACCTCCTCCTAAGTTGACAAAGGAAACAAGAAAATTTGATCACGTTTGAGAATTTGGAACTTTTTATTATTAATTTTACAATTTTTGTTAAGAAAATGTGCTAGATTAAGCAGTTATCAAAATTGTTGCTGATTAATTTTCTGTTGATTGACCAAATGTTTAATTGAGGCATAGGTTCTGTTTCATGGTTACCTGTAACTAGGCTAATACACGGTAAAGCTATGCAGCTTAAATTAAGTTATTGGAGCCATCAAATCTTTGGTGGTTTGGTTGAAAAACGAAACGGCTTCAAGGAACAGTACAAGGTTTTAGGAAATATGCTCTCTTACCTTCTTGCCGAGAGTTAGATGAGAAGATTGACAGCTTATCCGGTTACCTTAACTGAGCATAAGATTGGACAAAGGGGGAAACATCAAGTCCGCCTTTGTCAAAACCATGATCCAAACCAGATGGACGTTGCCTCTGCGACGTTACCCATAGGTTCCTGAAGAGCAGTTTGAGTTTAACGGTCAGAGTGGGCTCTGCTCCGCCATCACCATCTTGGCAGTGCCTAACTCCCGGCTAATCCAAAACAAAAATGGGACAAAGAGGTGGGTCGTGTTTGGAGCCGAGACTTTGGTCCATGCCTATGGTTTTAGTAACTCTGGCAGGCATACGCTCCCGTTAGCATCATTAGCACAGGTTAGCACTTTGCTCGAAGGCTAACCCACTGCTAATTCATTACTGGCTAATTAGCTAGTTAATGAGCTAAGCTAACAAGCTAGGTAAAGTGAGCACAGATACTGATGCCTGCTAATTAGTGCTAACATAAATAAAATAAAACCAGACTTTCACTCACCTCAAAATACAGGGTCACAGACTTCCTCACGTTCTGTTAGTCAGTTAACCACACAGCAAGACATATTAATTGCTCGATATTTGCATGAAAAATCACCCACAACCAACACCACAAACAGGCTGAGAAGTGACGTTAGGGACTTGAATTAGCTGAGGTGACAGCGAGCAGATAGCCAGCGGACTGTGACAGCACCTGTCACTCAAAGCGGCCACGACCATAATTATGCATAACTTTAAGCATTAATAGAATTTAAACACGTGAGTTATATAAAAATTCACACCCCGTACAGTTGTTATGAAGTGGGAAATTAGTTATAGAGACTAAAACCGTTTTTTGTACCAAACTGTAAACATGTTTATTTCTGCTGTAAAGTTGGGCATTTTAACATGGTAGTCTATGTGGAGGTTTGCCACTTGCTCCAAACCAAGAAATGCTGTGATACTGTAACCTCCCACAAAACTATAGTGTGCTTTTTACTCCTCAATTTTATACAGATTAAATAATCACGATATAACATGCTAATGAATGAACCTTAGATGTGCTTTTTGTAGGATTTTACTTTGTGACAAAACCAGGTTAGCAGTTTCACACTGTCTCCATTCTGTACAAAGCTAAGCTAACCAGCTGCTGCCTGTGGCTTTATCTTCATTGTACAGACATGAGAGTGGTATCGATTTTCTCATCTAACACTTTAAACTATTAATATAGTAACTTTAAACTATTCATCAATCATCAAAATAGCTGCTGATTAAATTTGTGTCCTCTGACTAACAGATGAATTAACTAAGCACTGCAGCTTTTGCTCTTTAACAAGGCTTTGGTGAAGGAGCTATGATGTTTGCACAGTACGTTTCCAACATTTATTATTGGATTATCATGTTGTCAGCATGTCTGGGATGAGGTATTGCAGTGGCTATGATGTAATGTGACCACATAATGTGATGATGATGGGTTGGAACTAAACAGGATGATAAACAAATGCTGTGTAAAGGCTGCCAGGGTTTTCTTCACAGCTGTTTCCACAGTTTTGGATACAACAGCAGTAGCAACGGCAGCAGAGTGAGGACAAATAAAGGTCAACAAGATGAGCTGGTAATTGGTGAAGTGTGAAACATGTTTTTGAACCAAACTGAACATTTACAAACTGGTCAAAACACCACAGTGACACGCAAGGATTTTATAGTATTATTATTACATATATTAGATATTTTAGATCAATGCTAGAAGAGCTGAATTGATTAGGTGAACATCTGAAGATGTCACCTTGGCTATTGCTGCCCAAACATAGTGTTTCAATGAATAAAGAAATTATCCAAAGATACATTTGGACATATTAAACACATGAGAAAATATTCTTTAAAAAATAGATAACATTTCCCCTAGTAAAACAAAAAAAATCCATTTGAGTCAACAGCATGAACATAAATTTAACCTTTAACCCCTGGACAGTGAAAACTTGACGACATATCAATGTGTAGATGATGCTGTCAGAGTTATCTCAGTATTAATTTAGTTTAGTTTTAGTTTAGTTTTAGTCTAGAGGAACTGAAAACTATTCTGTCTCACTTCCCCAGAACAAAAGATGAACCGATCTACAATGAAAACTATAAATGATCATTGCAAGATTTAACAGTCGACTGTGATTCAGGGCGGCCCCCTCACTTTTTTGGCAGGTATCCAAAACAAAATCATCATCAATCGTAGATGCTTCCTCACTCTCGATCAGCGCACTCCCACACAGAAATCCATCCTACACACTTTTGCATGTTACTTCCTACGTCCAGCCTGGTGGGAAAAGCCAAACGTAGACCGTCAAGCTGACAGTTTTAGTGTCAGAAGCTTGAATCAGAAAAACTGTGTGTAACAGTGTTAAAATCTCGCTGAGCGCTGATGTTCCAAAACTGAGACATGTAAATATTGAAAAACAGCAGTGTCATGAGAAATGTAAATCTACCACATAGCTGATTGGTTTCAGCCATATGTCAGTCTCCAAAAGACTGTTCGAAACCAAGCAAAGATTAATGATTCAAAGACCCCGAAACCTACACCTTAACGTTTTTTTTTTGTGTGCAGAACTTTTACTGAACATACTTATTATTCAGCAACAGTGACTCCATAACTTCACTGTGTTCATCCCTGAATAATAAATCTTTAACCCTATAGTTCCCAACATTTTTAGTTTGTGACCTCTGAAAGTACAGTTATGCTTTAACTGAAGTGCTCTAGTCAGTCAGAAGTTGGGTGGAGCTATGCTGGAGATTACATGATAGCACCAAAGTCGGTGAATGTGTGAAATTTCTTCCACAAGATAACCACAATGTTTAGAATATTTTTGAGCATGGGAGTTTTTCCTCTCAAAGTCCAATCTTCAGAGTCTCTACATACTTTCAGATTTTTATGTGTTTTTTAAGACATGCACACACACGCACACACACGCACACACACGCACACACACACACACACACACACACACACACTTGGTGTGTGTGAACCATTGTTTACATACAGTGGATGTGCAGGGACATGAGTCAGGTAGTAACAGTCAGTGGGCGGTGACGGCTTGGACTGGTGCCAGGAATGTATGAATGGAAAAGCCTGCAGAGTATTGTTCTGCCCTCTGAAACAACTGCTATTTATAGGATTTGGAAAAGGGTGGACTGTGGAAAAGAAGCCCAGCCCGTGTCTGCTGGGAGACACTTGGAAATGGGAGAAGTCTGAGGAATAACTGGAAGTACAAACAATTATATACAGTAACTTTTCCTGTTTAAAGTTTTGAAGAACTCATGCCTGCAGTACTTTTCAGTTATTTCACAGTGTTTACCAAAGAAAAGTTACTTTATAAGCTTTCAGTGCATATAAACTCCCACTACGTATCTAGCTCTACGTCATATATCTTTCAAATATCTTTACTTCATTATGTAATTTAGAACACCCATCATGAAGCACAGTGTTGGTATCGACTGTTATGCCCTGACTGAGTGAATAAAATTTACACTGCAGACATTATACACTCACCAAGCACTTTATTAGGAACACCATACTAATTAGAGACAACTTTTGCTGTGTGAAATGGTGCATTATCCTGCTGGAAGTAGCCATTGCACATGGTCAGCAACAACACTCAGATAGGCTGTGGCTTACAAACAATGCCGCATTGGTGTTAAGGGGCCCGAGTGTGCCAAGAAAACATTCCCCACCAACAATGGCACCGATAATCATGCCACAGTCAAAGCAACAAGATCAAATTTTTTCTCCATTCTGATGTTTGATATGAACATTAACTGAAGCTCCTAACCTGTGTCTGCAGGATTTTATGCACTGCTCTGCTGCCACATGATTGGCTGACTGGATAATTGCATGACTAATCAGGTGTACAGGTGTTCCTAATAAAGTGCTTGATGAGTGTGCTGTATTTCGGCATTATTCAGTATTACCAATGGATTCTAAGGAACACATTATGACATTTGTGCAAGAAACTAAATATCCTCAGAAACATGCAGTAACACTGTAACTGATATTCACTGAAGTTTTTTTTGTAAAAATATTCACACTTGCCTGTTTATTATTAATTATATGTGTTAATGTGTAAATATGTGTTTTCAAGAGAGACCTGTATACAAGAATAAACATGAGTTAGAACAGATTTACATTAAGAAATTACAAGTAAATAAAACTGTGAATACTTGATTATAGTCCTCAAGTTAAATTCACACACATTAATTCTTTTCGCAGGGAGCGTAGTCCCTGAACTCAGGCCTCCCAAGAGTTTTTAAAAATGACAAACAGCTAATGTGAAGG